AAGTAGAAGGAAAGAAGTCAGATAATCATGGAAACTACATTGATGATTAAATTTCAATAAAATGTAAGATTTGATCATTCGTTTTCTTTATTTAAAATCCGGACAGAACTTGTGGGATGACCTGATATATATATATAAACTGTGGACAAATAAATATTTAAAAGTTAGTGGTCATCCCATAAGTTCTGTAAAAACAAGTTTCAATAAAAAGATTTCACAGTGTCATTAACTATCAGTTTCTTTCTAAAACTCCCCCCAGTGGCACAGCGGTATGTCTGTGGACTTACAATGCTAGAAACCAGGTTTCGATACCCGTGGTGGGCAGAACACAGATAGCCCATTGTGTAGCTTTGTGCATAACTACAAACAAAAACTTTCCAAAACTTATTACAGATATTTGAAATCAACCAAATTTTGGGTAGTTTTTGCAGAAAGAGTTACAATACATTACAATACCATTGTAAGTAAAGCATGGTTTGTGGTGCTGTTGTCACTTTTTACTTTAACTGCTGAGTGTGTACGATGCATTCCCAACTTCATGTATTACAATTATCTTGCCTTCTTCTTAGTTTTAACAATACTAATAATACTGATGTATCAGGCATAGCACAAATACTTATCTCATATTTTTGTATGAAATTGAAATACTTTAGTGAATTCATGGAAAATTTAAGAAATTGACAAAAATATTTAGTGTTTTTGAAGTCTCAACTTTTTCCATTATATTTTAACACATTGACTGCTTTAAACACATGCAGAAATTTTGCAATCTGTACACTATATATGGCACACTCACATTCAACTGCCAGAGGCAGACTGTACCCTATACCACGAATCAGCAGTCAATGGGTTAACCCTTTCGAGACGGGTCATAGATGAAAGCCATGTCATCTCATTTGTTGACTCGCATTCAAAATTTTATTAAACTACACTTTCATGAATTTTTGTCAATAAGTTTGTTATCAAACTGTAGATTATAATTCAAGTTTTAGTACTATATATTATTCAATTTCTTATTTGTAAAAGCAAATATAAAAAAAAACAATAAACATTGATTCTGGTGTGTCATATGGTATATTGAATGCTGCACTGGTTCCAATTAGATGTTTGTGAAGTCAAAATACCAAGTCTACAGTTTCATACGAATTAGAAACTCAAATTACCAATATTGACAAGCTAGAATATAAAATAAGAGCCTCATATCTTTTCAACTTGCTAAGATATTAGTCATGTAATAAATCAAACACAGTGGTACCCCACCCACCTCTTTCCATTTTTGGAAATACTCCCTTATATACACTTACTTCTACATATGACATAAATAATGGATCGGAAGCTCAGAATGTCCCCCTAGTGGCTTTCTCAGCCATTCTAATGGGCTTGGCATCATTTCTTTCTTTTGAACCAATATTTCAATGAGGTAGGTTGTGTCTTTAGTCTCCTCGAAATTTCATATTACTTTAGACTGAAATACAACTTAGTTACTAAACTTAAATTATAATTCAACTCTATGGTATCGATATAGTAATTTATGATTTTTGGTTATTCAACTGTATATATATAAAACCTAAAAAAAATTATTTTGTTTCAAATCCTCCATGTGCAATTTTTTTAAAAACTTATTTCAAAATAGCAATAATCTATATACATATATGATGTATAATAATTGAAATCTAACTGTATTTTACAAAATACTGGTCTCCTAAAACAAAGCCAAGACAAGTTACTTTGTACAGACAAAAGGTCAGTTTTATGTTATTTGATACAGTAACATAAGTGCACATGAGCCACGTCTATTGTAACTTCTGCATTGTTAGCCAGGCACGGCTGAAAGGTCAATATAATAAATATATATAAATGTATAATATTATGAGATAAAATATTTCATTTAAACATTTATGTTTTCGTGTTATAATTTGTGTTCATTCTAAAATTAAAGAGGCAAAATTTCTACATATTTCCTAATTTTTTATGGTAGTTGCAAGATCGGTCAAATCTACCAAACCCGTACAGAGAATAATTACTGAAAATAACAGATAAAAACAGTTTTTTCTTAAGAAACATTTGGTAACTATCTGGACATTATAAAGATTTCGTATGTGAAATTTCAAAATTTTCTAATGCATAAAAGTATTTTTAATCTTCAAATGAATATTACTTTGCATGATAGATAGGCAACATGCCAAAAGAAAAAAAAAAGACATGAGAAAAACATTGCTTTACAAACCTTAAGTAATAAAAAAAATTGATATTTTGCGTATGAAAGCATTATAATGTTTACTTATAATCTGCCATATTTTGTTAACATTTGCTTACTAATTTAAGTTATAGCATGAAACTATAACAAGCACAAAATGGGTACAAGGTTGGTCACAGGGACCGCACGCATGCTGAAAGAGTTAATCTATTAGTACTCCCTTTTGTAAGTATTCTTCTCAATGATATGTGACATCTGCATGTACATAGATGCATAAATACTTACATGACAGATCTTTGTATAAAGCTTACTTATGGGTGAACAAAAATGACATTTTTGTCCATAAATAATGCATTAACTCATTCTTTGTGGGTGAATACAGCAAGGAGATATGTATACTAATTATGCCTTATTTTTGTAGTATTCTCAAAAATTCTTAGCACTTAGTTTAGTACAATCATCAACAACAGTAATTCATTCAAGGATCACCAGTGTAATGTTGATACCTAAATGCAATTCTGGGTAAGTCAGTAGTTGTGTAAACAACAGATGTGATTAATTTTCTTTTTCTGTTTGTGCAATACAGCTGAAATCTGACAAAATGTTTTTAGTGACATAAGAGAAACCACATGGAACACGTTTAGTGAGTTGAAAACTTTACCGTCCTGTTTCTTCAAATGTCAAATTGATAGTAGATATTTTACTCATGTGTATAATTTGCACCATTATATATATATATACACACCATCCAAACTACAATCATTATACATGAATAATACAGCACATAGCACATGAAGTAATATCACTGCTAAGAAAAAATTAAACAGTTTTATATGTATATATATATTTAGTGTGAGAAGTAAACTGTATTAATTATAGTGATGCTGGTGAGAAAAATATAAACCTTTTAAGAAATTGATTGCTTCAAAAATTGAGTGGAAAAACTAACAAACTTTTGACTATAACTGTTGACTATAAACCATATTTTTAGTTAATCTCAAAATATAAAGATCATATAGGCTTATCTTTATGGAAGAAAGAAGTATTTTCCCCATGAGTGTCTTTACTGTGGTTACATGGTTTTTATGCTTAATATTCGCTATGGGCTCAGTCGCATCAACCGAGTTCATGACCCCAACTTAATCTTTATAGTTTGCACACTATAATTTCTAATACACTTTGTGTAACTTCACTACATTTCTCAAACTTTCAGTAATCATTAAGAGTCATTTGTAGACAAAATAACAAAATTTTTAATGAAGTACTTGCACAAAACATTTCTCCATGAATATATGGAGTCAAATTGTTGGTTGCTCCAAGTGCAAAGTGATTTTCATTAAAAATACTTTTCATTAACTGAAAAACCTCAAATTTCATTTGTGTAATCTCTATAACCCTCTTAATACATTTCACACATTTGTTTTCAGTAAATTGTAACATGAAACTACATTCGTTTATCCTAAGTAGCTTTAAACTCGTAACAGTATACATCTACTTATACTTAAATTTTATTGTCCTTTGAAATATTTCTAACTATTATTCATGCCATTATAAGTTGTAAATAACTTGAGGAATGAGGAGCTCATGTTTCGCTATAGAATTACATTACCCACGAGCTACTCCAAGCTGCTCGTGTGTATGCCTCGCGAAACATTTATATTATATTATTACTATTAATATTTATTTTACCTAATCAAACTTTAATTAACCTAGAGAGATTCCTATATTAACATTTAAGTTACTTTTATAATAATAAATAAAGAATGCACATGAAAAACAAGAAATAAAAGTACTTACCCGGGTCTTTGTTTTTTTTTGCTGTCGAATGTCGATGACACTTTAGCCTACTTTTTTTTAATACTAATGGTAGTAATGCACTAACTAATTTTTATTTAATTACGTAATGCACCAAAGAACATAGAATAATAATATGCAAAAAAGCAGACAATGTCCCATAACTGTCACAATTTTTCTGGCTTTCTAACTATGTGACAAGAGCCATTACAAATTCATCCAAGATAGTCAATATCTTTCCTGTGGGAACAAAGCTTGTACTAAATGAGAAGTTGACAATTCTCTTTTCAGCAAACAACATAATATAATACATCATTTGATAGATGAAAACCTTGGCTTTCCATTTGTTATAAATAATATAATATTAAACATAAGAGAGAACTACTAACAAATCCTGAAAGAGAGGATCTGACAGATGGATGTGGCAAGTGTCTGATTTTCTATTTGATAGCTCTCTAAACAAACAAAATTGAAGGTCATAAAAATTATGCTTTGTCTGAACAATGATGATTTGATAGGGAGTAATTTACGTTTAATTATTGGAGGGGTAGCGAATAAATTACAGAAGACAGAATGCCTTGAGAAAAAAATGTCACATTTCTCACAATAGGGGAATATTCAGGATTTTTTTTTTAATAATGCCTTATAAAATCAAGAACTTTAACCTTATATACTATTAAAATGTGGATTATTAGCTATGATTTTATGCTATACTAATTGGTATAACATAAACAAAAAGTAATTTAATTAATTTTTTAATGCAAGTCACTAAAACCCTCATGACATGCGCAGGAAAAAATGCCTGTTGCTAAAGGGTTAAATATATGTAAACTATCAGTACACAGACTTTGTTCCATTTAGTTGTAAAGAAAAATTTTATACTGAATTCATTTCAGGTTTTGTTCATCTTTGCTGGTCATGTTCAACCACACCTTTAAACATTATCTAATCTTCTACTCTTGAATGCACCTAAAATCCACCTTGTAATAATTCACTTTGAATTTCACAATATAGGAAAATAACTTTGCAAGTAACACTTCTTTGGTTATCTAATAGGTACACATATTAACATACCTGGTACAAAGGCAATAAAAGGCATAAAGTATGAGAGAAAAGGCACAATAATAGTCCATTTTCTGAAAGAAAAAAAATTAACACAAGAATAAGATTAAATGTTTTTTTATCTGAAAATTAAATTTCTAATCAGCAATACCTATGATTTATGTACCTGCTATGTACAAACAAAAACCATAATGAGCCTTCACATTTTTATGTTACACCATTTGCGTTAAATTTACACTGTTTTCCATATTCTGTGGTCATGATAGTTAGCAATTTACAATATTAAATTACTGCAATGATTATATTGAATTTAGAAGTTGTTCTGTGATCAGGTTTCAGATATCACATGCTATAATATTTAAATAAGAATTTACTCAGTTAATTTCTGCCCTCAGTTTATATGGAGGCTCTTTTCATCACTGACTCTTGTTAAGATCATAATTGGTTAACCACTTCAAACTCACACTTGATCTATATTTGACTGAGCTTCGGAACACAAACTAACATTTACACACAAATAAGGTTGAATAAAGTTTATTCTTAATCCATAGTTAAAAATTTTACTTTTGAATGACTTAAAACATGTACTATACAAGTATGGTGTAGTCATCAACTCAAATTGCTTTAAGATCTTAACAAGAGCTAATGATGAACAGACCTTCTGTAAACCGAGGCTGGTGTGTCTAAAATAGTTTCTCTACAAGAGAACAGTAGTAGTAGTAGTAGTAGTAAAAATGAAAATGATATTATCATACTTTAAAGGTGCATAATTATTTGAGTCCTTTTTCTTAAATGTGCTAAATTAATATAAAATACAATAAATATACTCCAAGCTTTAAAAAGGTAAGGATGTAACAAGATAAAGCTTAAGAATTGTTCTTTTCATCAAGGAGAAATAGTGTATGATGTCAAAATGGAGATGATCATGACATCACAATTACTAGTGGGTAACACTATTTAGCAAGGCCTGTCATTTGTTCAAACTTAGAATTTTTTTAAGTGTCCTTGTCTATTAGCAAAGTGTTTTGACATACACCCTGTACAAAGGTGCATGATATTTATGCAATCATACTCTTAAGCTCCCATGTTGTGTTATATTGAACTGGATATCCATTAGAGCCTAAGCCTGCAGCTGCTTCGACCAGTAGAATGTTTGGTCCAAAACCAATAACATGAATGTGACTGTAAAATGTTCCACAAACAAATTTGTTGGATATGCCTCATTCAGGATGCACAGACATGAACAAAGTCATGTGTAATGCCACATTCAATAGAATAGTGCTTTTGGACTAGTGCTGTATGTGGCCTTTTACTTTAGGTCTTTGATTATATAATGCATTTTCACTAGAAGCACCAAATAAACTATATGAATAAACAGACTTTATCTAACTTGCGCATCAACAGAAAATGTTTTTAAGAAACAACTATTAACAAAAACAAATGTTTCCAAATGGAACTCTTAAAATTTACCAAGTATGACTCATATTTGCTGCTTTACAAAAATGAAGAAAAGTATATTTAAATCTGTTATTTTTACTGCTTATGAGTTTTCTAACTAAAATGTGTAAGAAAATGGTTACACTGCTGATTAATGAACAATTTCCCTCTAATACTTAAGGAAGCACCCCTTTCTTTATGTTATAATTTTATTACACTGAAAATGTTTTTCTTCTAGATACTTATCTCAACTCAAATAATAGCTTTTCTCCTTCTATGCTGCCCTCTATATGCACAATTTTTTGCTCACCACTAGCCTTGATACTCCCACCTACCACTACACATTTGCACATAATACAGCTGTACTGTAGCATGCAAGTAAGCATATGACAGCCCTCCACCAATAAGACTGTGACCCACTCTCTTGGCACAGCTAACTCGTTCTATACTGTAGAACCCAATCTTAACTTCAAGATTAGGCACAAAAAAAAACAAAAAAACACCAGAAGTGGGAAGAACTGGTGGGAAGTGTTAGTGAAAACAAGTATCTATTAGAAATATGTTTTCAGTTGTAGGAAAATTATAACTTTTGATAAGAACCCTTACCTCTTCACACATGATAACTGCAAAATTTACCTAGATGAGCACCCTTCGAAAAGCATCCAAACAGAGCCTATGGAGTGGGAAACATCAATGTAGAAGGACACACCTGTGGGATACTGCATCACATCCGTACCAGGCATACTCTGCACCCATTGTGAAGATACATCACTAAATTGGGCAGAAAGGATGCACATCCAATGCATAATTGAATGTGCCAAATGATATAGAGTAGCTAGGGAGTGTCAGACCTAGGCAGCATTAGGTATTTATCATCAAGTTCAATGTAGGAGGACGGTTCCAACCATTTTCACCTCAAGATGAGGAAGCAGAAGAAAAAACGGTTTCTATCCTGCCATCATAGCCAGAGCACTTGTGTGCAGAAACAGTACCCAAACAGCACCAGGCCACACTGGAACTCAACATCCAGGTGATGGTAGGAAGGGGGAATTGCAACATGGTGAGTTAACTCCCGTCTAAAACCTGGCGACATTGGGAACTTATCATCCAGTCCGTAGTAGGAATTATGTTAACTAGTCCTGGTCTACTCCAGCACCAGACCACCCAGGAACCAACATCCATGTAGCAGTAGGATGAAGGATCCCAGCTGGAAGGGTGAACTGTATGTGGTGGATCATCTCCAGTACAAAACCAGGCAGCATCAGGATATTTTTGCCTGTTCCACAGTAGGAGGATTGTTCACACCATCTACACTAAAAGAACACTACCACCCTACACTGAGAGAAATTGAGCACACCTGGGAAGATACCACCATGGTCCAACATCCCAGCAGCTAGAAGCTGGTAAGTAGCAAAGACTCCTGTATTCCACATGAACGAGGGGGGAACAATGCAGTGGAGAATCAGAAGGAATGCAACACTGGAGAATGTGCAATGGGTGACCACGAAACCCTATTTTTAAAAGCAGGCACGTCCCAATTTATTCACCCAGGATCAGCAGGATGGAAAGCTATCCCAACATTGCTTTATTCATGACAGTCCAAGAGTTGGTCTGGGATGGACTTTAATTATGAAGCAAAACATCATGAGGAAACCTCTAGTGGTCTAGTGGAACACCCCATCTCAACAGTGAGCATTATAGACCTTAATGGTCATACAATTTAGATTTACAGACTAGTATACCTGGATAGGCACTACTTGCCACGGAACAGGATTAAAGGAGTAAAATATTCCACCATAATGGAAAGAACGAAACAGGAAAATGTTAACCACTCACAGTTTAACTGAGATGTTTAGAATGGCAACGGGCAGTATTTGGTATCTCAAGAAAGAGGAGATAGCCATATGATGAAGATAATGACTTGTGAAGGTGTATGGTGAGGTCCACATACCAGCCTGGGTGATAGAAGTGAGCAGCCAGGGAGAGGGTGAGATGACAGATCTGGTGCAAAGATACCTGGAATATATGATGGGAATCATGAGACAAGGAAGAATATGTCAACCGATTAAGCTGGCAGATCCAACCTGTAAGGGTGAAAGGGGAAATGCCTCAGGGAAAGGAAGGGTTCAAATGGAGAAACCAGCAGGAAGTGGAACCATGGAAAGAAGCCATGTGAGCAATATAACACCAGACCAGAGATGGAATACAAATAGAAAATTGAAGTGAGGGGAAAGGGGTATGAATGTGACATCACCTACAAGAGCTGCTGACAATTTGGGAAAAAAACTTTCATCAGAATACAGAAGAACATACAGGTGCAGTGGTAAAGGATACGTGAAATGTTGAGGGCAAAAATAGCTAGGGATCACCATTCCATGAAGAGAATCTCATTGGAACAAGACAAGCATTCTAAAAAAAGATTCAGAGCACTTGGGAGATGACATGCCAGTAGGTGTATGTGATATAAATGGGTGCAGAAGAGAAGATCCAACATTCAAAAACAAAGAGACAAAGGTCAAATTGCAGGAAGGGATCATGACCAATTTGCCTTGTACTAAAGGAAGGAAATTATACAAAGCTCGATGAATAGCAAGTAGCTACAGAAAAGTGATGAGCTGAGCTGATTTGACCAAAAACCTACGATCTCCAGGGAATCCATAAACACCTCCAAAACCGTCAAAAAAGTATCTGCAAAGAAATGCTACTCAGAATGAGGAGGCAGAAGAAAAATACCAGCTGTATGCTTTCTCTGCCAAGTCACCAGGCTAAATCGACAAATACTGAGATAGGGAGAAGGGTAACAGAGTTCAGAGGATCCTGAACAAGATTCCATTGATCATGCAACACCCATTGAAAAATGTATATGTGACCACAATCCATAAGAATGGGGGCTTCCATGAAAGTTCAAGTCCCCATGCAGTGAGAAAAGAAGAGGTTTGAGATTTGTAAACTAATAGCTCCATTGATGTCAACTGGAGAGGAGAAGGCTGGGACCGATTGAGATAGGAATTGAAGAACATCCATAAATCGATGAGGTATGGGTTCAGAATAAGTAAGGACTTCTCCATTGTGACTAGCCAACCCACATGAGCAGCCTCTTGGAGAGATGTGTGTGCAAGTGAGATGGTTATTGGGATGTGGCTAAAAGGAAATAGTTGTCCATATAATGAAAATGAAGAAGATGGGCAAAGACCCTGACCACCCGACAGAATATGTCAGATGGAGAAGACCATATTGAATGGAAGAGCGAGGAATTGATATACTCAACCTTTATGGATATAACAAAGATAACATCTGCATGATGGGGAAATAGGGTTCTGAAAGTCAGCATCTGAGACGTATATCTTTGTCATCCAAAGACCACAAGTAAATGCCTACTGATGGTCGAGGAAAACTCCCTGGTTAAACAAGGAAGGTTGATGAAACAGCTGAGATTAGAGAGATCTTGGGAATGACAAATGAATGGGAATAGAGCCCTAGAGAAGGGTGACTGATGGGTTTGATATCATCTTTGAGAAGATCTCACTCTGGTTTAGACAGATGCTGGCAGGAAAGTGTATACCGAATAGGCGGGAAAGAAATGGGATACAGGGAAAACAGAGGTGTGGTTAGAAAATGAATGTAAAGTGCTTCAGATAACACCTGAAGCATCCAAGAATCCGTGGTGAAAGCATTCCATTAGTAAATAAACCTGGCCAAATGTGCCCCCAGTTGTTCCAGAACCAATGGTATAGTCACTGGTTGGCAGCAGGGCAAGATACAGGAATGGGAGCAGGCAAAGGCTGTGAAACATGAGAGACCAAGAAGGAAAGGGAGGAGTGTTGATGAGCAGCCTCCATCCTGGACTCTAATGAGTTAGAAGATCTCCAAAGACTGACTGGAGTAAAAATGGAGCCATAAAACGGTCAAGCAAATAAGAAGTGGGCAGGTGCATGCGAGCTCAAAGTGCATTCCTACGCAGGAGAACCCACAACAGAGAAGCCAAGTTTATAAAGTATGAAAAGAAGACAAGAACATCAAGAGGAGAGAAGGACTATCCACCAAAAACCCCTTAGGAGACTGATGAAGAGCATGAAATAGGTGATGGATAGAGAGATAGCACAGGACGATGATGAGAGTCAAACAGAAATGGGAAACTTGGGCCTGGGAAAATTTCACAGTAGTATCAAGACTGATCCCCACACCGAATCAAAACTCTAAGTTATGGAAGTCTAGAAAAGGAAATTCCAAATGATGGTGATACGCAAATGCATAGGAATCAGAGGCTCGAGTGGAATGAGGCATGCTGATTCTAGAACGTAATTGTGCTGTAAACTGATCAGCATAACCAGATATCTGAAGAGGGCCAGAAAACAAGATAACCCGAGGAAGGAGCAGCATGCAGGAAGGAAGAAAGGAGAGGTATCATAAGACAGGGGATACAAACAAAATGTAACATATCTGGGACACAATATCAAGGAAGTCAGAAAAAAATGTGGAAGCTGGGATTGCACAGCAACAGGAGGAGGTAGGAACAGGTTATCCAAATCCTCATCATCCTGACCAGGTTCTCCAGAAAACAGAAGACCATGACTTTCTCAGTAGGAAAAGTAAAGCCCAGAGCCTGAGAAACTGCAGGTTGAGGTTCAGTGGTAGTGGAAATAATAATAGTAGTTGTTGTAACTTGAAATTGTGAATCCATAATTCAAACTGAGATTGGTAATTTTCAGGTCAACCTACAGAACCAAGTTAATGTAGAGAAAATAAATTATAAGCTGGAAACAATGAGAATAGTTGTTCCACAAAATCTTTGAAAAAACTGAAGCAAAAAATGACCAAAAATTAGATATGTCTGCACTCTGCCAAATCAAGAAGCAAAGAATGAGTTCTAAATTACAGATGGAGTCAGCTGTGCCAGGAGGGTGTGTTGCACTCCTATTGGTAGTGTGCTGTTGCATGCTCATTTCCCTGCAACAGCTCAGCTGTATCATGTGTAAATGCATGGGAGTAGGTGGGAGTATCAAGACCAGTGGCAAGCAAAAAATGCTTAAAAATGCAAAAAATTATAGAGAGCAGCACAGGAGAAAAGCTATTAAGTGAGAAGAGATAAGGTATCTTATCAGAATACAAGTGGAAAAAATATTATTCAAAAAATTAAAAGTGTAGGAATGGGTGCACCAAAAAAGTCAGAAAACAAGGTAGGAACGAGCATGGTGTGATAAAACTTCCTTTGTACAGCTTCACAAGGGGGTGTGTCCAACATCCTGTCCATGCCTACTTTGTTTATTTTTTCTATCTCGTACACAATAAACCAGATGAACTAAATTTATCAAACTTAGTTATGCTCATCATACAATAACTAGAGGTTTCTGTGAAACAAATTATTGGAGGCAATACATGTGCTATAAAGTCTGTTTATATGACACCAGAATAATCAGGTATTCATGTGGACTCATAACTTGTATGTTTTTTCTTTACAACTTGTCCTTTCTTTTGCAAATGCATGAGAAGGCAACAGGATTTTGTACATTAGCTATGAAGTGGATTAAAATACAAAGACAGAAAATCCCAAGAGGTTTCTGTGTATCAACATCACCAAATCATTACTGTCTATACTCATAAGTTCTAAAATATTCTGAGTACAGTTTGTTTGTTTGTTTTGAATTTCGCGCATAGCGGTACGAGGGCTATCTGCGCTAGCCGTCCCTAATTTAGCAGTGTAAGACTAGAGGGAAGGCAGCTAGTCATCACCACCCACCGCCAACTTTTGGGCTACTCTTTTACCAACAAACAGTGGGATTGACCGTCACAATATAATGCCCCCACGGCTGAAAGGGTGAGCATGTTTGGTGTGACAGGGATTATGAGTACAGAAAAATAATTTAGGCATGAACCAGATGTGGGACATGTCCCCTTGTGAGGTTGGACCAAGGAAGATTTATTACACCATGCCCAATTGTACCTTGTTTCCTCACTTTTAGGTGCCCCCATTCCAATACTTTCACTTTTTTTAAATATTTTTCCACTCGTTCATGCACTTTTTCATGCAAAGTGATATGATCTTATGCATCATTCATTCATTTGTGTTGATATCCTGCATGTATATCATCAGGGTGGGTTTGCACCATAATATTATGGTATGTGCAAATAATGGTGTGTGTATGTGTGGTGTGCATTCTCTCCACTTATGGTGTGTGCACACATTGTGAGTGTGCATATGTGCTGTTCATGTGATGGCACACTCACACTATAGTGTACAATGTCATTTGGATGATATAGTGTGAGTTGTGGTTGTGTGCACATACTAAGGTTTGATATTTTAATTTACTACTTCACACTAACACGTGGTCCCTGTGCCATTGTTCTATTTTGTGCACTTATAAGAATGGTAAGTGTGTTTGTTACACAGCAAGAAGCATTTAACAATATCAGTCAGTCAGTGAAGTTGAGAAATTTGTGGTTTTGTGAATTTTTTGTATCTGCTCTGCTGACCTTCTCAAATGGTTCTATGACTTTTAATTTTGTATGTGGTTTATTATCACCTAAGGATATCTCTCAAATACTTTTGAAGATTTATTATTTGGTTATTAAAGGTGTATACGAGTAAATAGTTTATATTGCATGTATTGTGTATCTGCCCCATTCGTACTATATCGTACTTACGATGAAGTGTGTTTGCATTTTTAAACAAATTGTTGTTGTCAATGTATGCTTGCCTTACAGACAACTAAGGCAATACAAAAACATACAGCATGTTCTGTAGCTATAATATTCAAAATATTAAACTCACTTTAAAAAATAAAACCCATATAACCAAATGAATAACTGCAGTTCCTATCTATATTAGTTGTCACCAACTCAGCTGAGTAAGAAGGATGTACAAATAAAATTCTACTATGCAGTAGTTCTGAAATGAGAAAATATATCACTTGTCATTCAGTTGAGGTATAATGAGTTCATACTAATTTCAAATCTTCAAGAAACTGAACTTATTATTTTTTGTATTAAAAATTACTAAAATTATTAGTTCTTACCTCTGTGAAAGGTGTATCTCTTGAATGGAATACAGCTGACCACAGCCATGCATTAATAGACAACTGTAACATAAAGAAACACTGGAAGATGACAATTCACCTCTATTACTATTATTTTTTTATTATAATGATTAGCTCTGTGATAATTTTCTAACAAAATTTCTAAACAATAATAGTTCAGCTATGCAACAGAAGTTTTGAGAGTTATTTTTTCATACAATACCTTTTGCTTTTCATAGGTATAACTAACATTTTTCTAAGGATGCAATTTTATATATTGAAGTTATGGAATGTAATGTTCAAATTTATGCACCATGTTAACAATTTCTAACACTGAAAATGTATTTGCAATTGACACTTACCTCGTCTCACCCAAAACTATCTTGACCTTGATTTGCCTTCTAAGCATTTATAAAATTCTCAACAGTGCACCAGTCTTTTATATTCCTTCATTTCTGTGCCACTGCAGCAACATGTGCTGATCATGTTACTTCGCTACCCTCCATCAATCATACTGCACCACCTATATTAGCCCCGATAGCTCCCTCTATCATTGCAGCACAATTTTCACTTTCGAGAATTGGCAGATATAAACCAGAAACACTGGCAAATCAGTGGGGAGGAAGAGTGGGAAGTGGGTGAGTGACAGAAAGTACCTATCGGAAATACATTTTCAGTGTTACAAAATGTTAACTTTTGAAACAGTACTACCTCCTCTCACCCAAAACTAGAATCCCACATTGCAAAGGTGGAGGGGCCAGTGAAGGCATAAAAGTAATCAAATAAGTGAAGAACAACCATTGTAAAAGAACAGGTGTGTCACAATTATAAAAGGAGGCACACCTGTGGGGAATAGCACTACTTCTGGAACAATTATGCTCTTTGTCCAGTAACAAACAAAGTAAAACACATAGGATGGAACTTAATAGATAGGCAAAAAACATCTAGGGGAAGCATCTTGGATTTATATCAAGATAGCAAAGTGTGGTCAGCATAGGCAAGACATCCAGGGGAAGCAACTTGGAATGCATTAGATTATGTCAAGTGAGGTCCATCCAGGCAGAAAACATCCAATGGAAGTGCCTTGCACAAAATTGATTGTTTTATGTCTTGAACATAATATATTAGGTTGTCA